TCAGTTTTGTGTTTTTTTCCTACTGCACAGCCTGAGCTTCCTGCCTCACCGAGGGTATGCTGGAAATTCAGGCTAAGTGGTACACCACTGAGGCTGTCGAGCTGGGACCTGGAGGCTCACAGTGTCTTCCCCTCCAGTGCAGAGAGCATCACCTGTGACCTGTGGCACAGCTCATGCAGAAAGCCTCTCCTCCACAACAGGACCTCATTTGCTCCAGGTTGACCTTGCTGGCCTGCAGTACAAAGGTACATGACAAGCACATGTAAGTGGGGGTTTCTTATCCATTTTGATTACTCAAGGGAAAAAAAAAATAAAATCTGTGTTTTTTAACTTGATTTTTCACCCATATTGAACCCTCCTCAAAAAGAAAGAAATTCTTGGCTAAATGATGATGAATTTACAATGGGAAACTATAAATCCATCTTGGGGTACAGAAGGTAGTACAAACTGCAAAAACAAAACTTCCACATCAGTCTTGGTTCACAAAGATCGAGCTCACTGCATCCATCTCCACTCATTGTTCTCTCTATAAATCTCTTTTGCTAAGAGCAATACCAGGTTTCCCAGAGGCATCATTTACTGTTACAGGCTCCATTCTTCAGCTGATTTTGTGCACACAATTATTCCAATTTAGGAAAGTTTTTTTTTTTCCTTTTTTTTAAAAAAAAAAAAAAAAAAAGTTTGCAGCTCAGTTTTTCAAATAACCCAAAGCTTTAAACAAATTGAACTCAGGCATCCAGCTCCAACATCCCATTTCTGAATCTGAAAAAGTCTCAGATTTCCTTTCCCTCCTCCATTTCCTTTGGCATTTACAAATCACAGAGACACTTCACCTAATTTAATTCATGTCACACTTACTATTTCCTAACTTCCTTAAAAAGTTTTCTGAATACTTCTATCCCACCACCACCCTCCCAGGAATTTCCCTTCTCCCACTGCTCACTGCAGCAAGGGCAAGCAGCCACAGCAGAACCCATGCCATAAGCCCTCATCTGTGAATGGGCTGATTTAGGTTTCCAGCTTGCCCAGATTTCTCTACATTTTTGTTCCCTTCATGGTCTCAAGATGCATTCCTCAACTGAAAGCTCCTTCTGGCATCAACTATTTATTTAGATAATAAACACTGAGGCAAAAGCATTTTATAAGTACTTATCCAGCCAGGCCAGATGGGACAAACTTTGGAATTCTACCAAAATAAAATGACTAAAAAAAAAGGTTTCATTCACTGCATCTCATTACTGCCAGCTTCTCAAAGCACTGCCAGGGATGAATAGCAGCACAAAGTTTGCTTTCCCATCAGAGCGAACTGAAAACGTGTGATTTTCATTGTGCCATGACCATGTAAACACACAATTACTGCTAACAGCGACCGGGAGCTGCAGGACACACGTTTACCTTTCCAAGCACTGTGGTGCACCTCTGTCCAGAGGAAAGCAAGAAAACTGGCTGGTGTTGCTGAAGAACTGCAATTTGGAAAGCCCAACGGTGTTTTCAGAAAGTAAGCTTCCCTGCAGGAGACAAAGATGAGATGTGACAATTACTGCAGAACCATCTATCGGAAGGAACACTCAACAACCTAAAAATGTCAGCTCTTGTCATGTTACTGACACTGCCGGTGATTTTAATTGCCTTTTGTCCTTCTCAAGTGAGCAATAGAGAGGACAGGTGGAATATTAGATTTTAAGTCCCTGGAAGTTTAGTCCAACAAACATAAAACAAATGTAAAATCCTTGTCGTGTCCTTTGCAGCAAGTGAGGCTGTGAAAGAGCAACTTCACAAAGGCAGGGCTGGGAGGAGAACTTCTAGTGGGATAGTTTTGTCCAAACCCCCTTAAAATTACAACACGACCATGTTCTGTTTCCAAAACCTTGAGCATTTGTACTATTTGAGAACATAAAGCAAAGAAACTGCTCTGTGAAGCTTGCTTTGCTTACCGCATCTGTCACAAAAAGCCAGAGTAAACCAGGGAATGGCAACGGAGAAACCAGAAATTAGCAATTTTCATAACCAGATTTTACATTTTTCCCCCACAACCTATAAATTTAATATTTTCCATCAAGTTTTCAAATGTATTCAAACCTCTTAAAAAAGAGTTTAAACATTTCCTAACAGGAAGGCATCTTCTGTTCCGAGGCGATGTGTTCTTTAAGCCTCACAAAACCCAAGATTGAGTTTAGATTTGATGGCATCATTTTGTAAATCCTTTGTGTTGGTCGATTGCCTTGGGCATCTGCACTCGTAATTCCTCATACAACCGTGTTGCAGCAGTAGCTGTAGAGCAATAAGATTTGCACGCATCCTCGTGGCACTAAACCTTTCCAGTATTTACTTGGAAAGGATGCGTTTCCAACTTCAGTTCAGTGGCTCCTCCCGTGTTGTCAGGGCATCCATCAGCCATGAGTACCCTAGCATAAATCCCTATAAAGTTAGAGAAACTCAACTCTGAAAGCAAATATCTCAGCAGAAAGCACCAGGATCTCCCAGACCACCACAGAGCGCATCCCCCTGGCAAAACGCTCTTCAGGAATTTGGCAGTGGATGGGCTCATGGAGAGAAAACTCTGGGAGATCTGTCTATTAAAATACCATGTGGCAAATTGTATTCAGATATATGGAAAAGACTGCACGAAATTTTCTGTTACATTGCCTGATGTTTATGACAGTTGAAGCTAGCTGTTACCGTGAGGATCAGCGATGGCTCCAGCTGGTTCCAGTTTAAAGAAGTTTACTGGTGCAGGGAGGGCTCACTGACAACAGCTAGGACCCACAGCAAAGCGTGACATTTCATTTTTAGGGGATCAGGCGTTCCCAATATTGGTAAACTACATGAGCAGAGCTTGGAGGAGATGCATTCGTCACAACTGAATCAACATGATTCTGGGTGGCAACTCTCTGGAAGTCTGCAGAGAAAAATTAAGGAGGAATTAAGTATACACAAGTGCAGAAAATACACTTTGTAAGTACCTGTAGAGATATGGATGGCTTTCCATAATCTTTAGCACGTGATGCTCATGTATCAGAGGTTCCTGCCCTTCTAGCAGCAAGAGGCAAAGCTCCCAATTCCTCAGCTGTTGCAGTTCATTCAGCTTGGTCTGTTATCCCAAACCACAGCACGAATGCAAGACGATGTGAGCTGCAAGGAGCAGACACACTGAGCTGGGAAGGAGAGCTGTGAGCAGTAAAACCTGAAAGCTCCAGAGCTAAACCCAATAAAACGTGCTGCCCCTTGCAGGATTTGCAGCCTCATGGAAAGGTTCCCGTTGACTTCAGTGAGCTCCAGGTCACGCCTCGGGCTTTTACAGGAATCCTGGCTCCCAGTGCCCATGTCTGGCCTGAGTTATACAGGGCGCTGAGGTAATTTATCCAAATAACCTGGCAGGCCAAAGGTGGTGGTCCTTGGAATCAATCCCCCTCAACCATCCCTTCCAGCTACGTTACTGAAGCACTAAATACCAGGCACAATGTGCTGGGGGGGGGGGGGTAAATGATGTACAAGAGCTGTTAAGGCTCGGCAGATTTTTGAACAGTCCTCAAGACTGAAGAGAAAAAGCTGAAGAAGAGTCTTTTTGCCAGTTTTCAGCCCTGTATCCACTGCAAATTCAGCTTACTGTTCTTGAAAGGGAAGGAACGTGGAGGTTTTAGCATCAGCTGGGAAGTTCAGAAGGATTTGGTGGGTTCACATCTTGAATGGGAAGAGCCAGCTCACCCAAAGCGTCCCACAGCACATCGGCTTTTGTTCCAAGTCACTACGCCCAACTCTGTTTAGACAGACACACGTACAATTAAAAATTAAAATAAAATAAATACACTCAAGATCTTCAAGAAAAAGCAGTCAGCTGTACAGGATTCCCTTGAAAGGGGTTAAAATTGGAAGAGGTTTGTGAACAGATTACTCCAGGAAAAGCAGAGACATAAGTTTGAGAAGAAAGGTGTTTGGTTTAAATTTATTGTATTATTTCCCCCACCAGGTAATGCCTTCAGAAAAGTTGGAAACTTGGAGGAATCTTTAGCCTTTGCAAAGGAAGTTTCTGCCACTCAGGGTGCTTTGTCACATCAACAGAAGCAACTCATTGCATTTCTTTCCAAACAGAGCAGTGAATCTCTGACATCAAGAAAATGTTCACAAAGAAAAAAGTGAATTAAACCTAAAAATGTTGTCTGGAGACAGCAATATAATATCTACACAGCTCTTTAAATCTCAGGAGCCTTACCAAGCTGTGGGTGGGGCAGACTGAGGACATTTATGACATGCTTTAGCATCAGGCTTTAAACCAACTTTGAAATTTCAAGCTTGTTTTTCTTTCCACTTGAAATACAAATGTTATTCCTCCTTTTTACAACTTCTTACTCTAAAAGCTGCAGAGTACAGCCGGCACCTAAGGCTTCTCAGTCCACTGAACCAAACCCTGGACGGCTGCTAACAAATTAATTTTGACAGCATTGGTATCTATAAAATAAGGACGCCTTCACTTATTTTATAAATAGAGGAGAAAGTGCTTAAATTTCCCAGCAAACGAATAAAACAAATCCTGCTTCTGATCAGTTCAAGTGAAGAGCCAAGTGATTAACCATCACTTTGAATGAACTCTTTTATTCCTAGGACCTTGGGCTGTCCTAGGACCCAGAGAACAGGACAAACCTCAGCTTTTGGAGAAGAATTGGGCTCCAAGAGGCTTTGAATCAAGGCTTACCTGCAGAACACACCAAAATGGTGTAGGGTGGAAGGCAGAAATGCAAGTTATTGCAGCTGTGTAGGTGCAATGCACACGACTCATGGTCCCTAAGGAACACAGTGGGATGTCTGGCACGCATCAGGTCACACAGTCCTGGGATAAATGTCTCATTTCCTTGTCATTTATTACCAAAACTGTAGCAACAGCTTGATTTCTTTTCCTTCTCTCTCCTCCACGCATGCTGAGAACTTCTCCAAAGTTACTCAAGCAATATATTTCTGGAGGTTAATTCAGGACAAAAATCCCAGGAAGCAAATAGCACAGAAACTACCAACATATTCCCTTTTTTATTGTTTCTGACAATCAGTAGTAAAATGTGTTGCTGCTACCAAGGGAGCCAGTTCTAGCATTACTCATTTTACATTAGGGTCCAGAAGAATAAATCCTTCCAGAGCTCTTGCTGGCATTAAGCTGAAACATAAGTCTAGATTTGTAAAGGAAATGTATTAAACAGATGAGACAGCAGCAGAATACAGATTTAAAGGAGAAGAGAGACGTATCCTCCGGCCCTGTGTACTATTAAAGAATAAACAGAAGGGAACCACATGGAAACAGCTGAGCTGCAAATAAGCATCAACTAATACATAGATGTGTCATCCTAACAAGAAACAAATCTCTGTATTTCATCCTGCTCTGCTTAAAATCTGGAAGCTTCTGCAAGAGCAGATCAAGCGGTCCAGGAGAGCACCCAGATGGTTTGGATGGAAACTGCCCGAATCTTGTTTCCTATAGAAAAGAAGAACACAGGCAGAATACAAAGTTCTCTTTTCAGCATGAAAACAGTGCAGGATTAGGACTTTGTCCTCCTGGACAGGATGGAGGAACGTGTAGGGAAGTAGCACAAAGAAAATAAAAGGCAAGTACAGTTGGAGGAATACGTGTGCAGGTTTAAGCACACCTTCTGGGCACAGCAAAAAACAACTGGTGGACCACAAATGCCTTGTTTGTTCTTGTTAAGTTCACAGGGCCACTCCACAGCCACAACCCAGCTGGTTTTGCTGCAGTGCTAGACAAAACAAACAAACAAAAAATACTACAGCAAAGAGAAAGGATGATCCAGCTGTACAAGCAGGGAATGGAAGTCAGGAGCTGTGGCAGCTTCAGGATTTAGCTCTGCCAGGTATTCCCCGCGTGCTCCACAAATCCTGGATCCAGCATTAAAGCAAGTCAACATTTTTTCCTCAAGTATCTCCTCGTTTCAGAGCCTGTGGGACCACTACACAGCCCAGCCATGCCAGGGTTTAGCCCCTACTAGTACTTAACGCTACAAAATCATAAACTTGGCCACTAAACTCGCAAAAAGTATTCGGTCACGAAGAATCAGCATGGCTTGGGTACAGATGACAGAGCAGAGATGCCCAGAATGTCCCAGGGATGCTATGAAGCCACGGAGCATATTTTTAAATCAATTATCCTGGACAATTTTACGAACAGCTGCAGAGATCAAGTAAACTGTACTCTCTAGGTTTACAGAGAGCAGGCATGAAAATTGCATGGAAATAGGGTAATCAGAGGGGTTTTCTCATTGTTGTCACTGCACAAAGCTGGAAAGTACTCCATTAACCTAGGCTCCAGGTGCAGCAAACCCTATTTGAAGTAAGGAATCAGGACCATTATACCCTTAGGCAATATAGCTGGCTAAAAAGCTTCAGCAGACCTGCACAATTATTTAGCAGCACAAAGCAACTCCTAACCACTGTCCCCAGAGCTCCTGTAAGAGATGCTCATGTGACAAGCAAGCTAAGTGTTCAGTGTCGAAGCCCTTCTGACACATATTTTGATCACAGGCAAATTTGTTTTATGTATCTAAAGGTAAACATACTAGAAATAAAAGTCTACGGGATTTAAGGTGTCCAAAAAGTAGAGTTTAGAAGAAGTAAATAAAAGAAGTCAGAGGTCTTGAAAGGATTTGATTTTACTTCTCACTACTCCTTACAGGGTATTTGGTATTGCCCAGTGTAGGTGTAATCACTGGCTACTTCTTCTTTCCTTTCTTCTTTCCTTCTTTCTTTTCTTTTTTCTTGTATCTTGAGGCTCCTTTTCTATTACAATCAAGCCTGCTGCAGGAGAGGGAAGCCCTGCCCTGCTAACACTGCTCCAGTGTGGCCGCAGGGTTTGCAGCAGCAGCTGTTGATGCTCACAGGTGCTGGCACTGCCTCTGCTCCTGAAACGAGGACTTCAGCTAATGCAGCCACAGGTTTTTGTGGTCTCTCAGCTTCTTCACATGTTAGTTATCCACTCCTTGCACCCATTTGTTATGTCAGCCCGTAACAGACAAGGGTACACACCTCTTACCATGAAGAGGAAGCTCAAGGGGCTGCACCGTGCTGCTTGCATAAAACAGGCAGATTATCACTCCCAATCCCCTCCCCACTGCAGAGCAGAGGGAAAACCAGCAAGGGACAAAGAAAGGTCTTCAAAATCAGCATATCTTTGGGGCCTGATTAAAACCCAGCTCAGATGTTGCATCGTTTCCTTGCCTGTCACACCAGGCTGCTCCACACAGCTGTTTGAGCAGGAGAACAAAATCAAATTACCTGTGCTGCCCAGGCAAAAGGGAGTGAAAAACCACCCTGGCTGTCAAGGTGGGGAAAAAAAGATCTAATCTGTGATGTGCCAAGGGCTGGAGCCATCATAGGAAGCATCGAGCCCAGAGGAACAATCGCAGCGTGACAGATAACACAGCGGCACTGCACCCACAAAGGAAGCTGAAGGAGAGGTGGGAGCTGGGTGCTGGGGGAGAGGTGTCAGCCTGGGTTACAGCGGCACGCTTCAGGAGATCGCCCGCAGGTCTGTGATGCACGAGTCTCCCCCAGCAGTGCATTAACAGCGAGCAGGGAGGTTTGCAAGTCACACCGACAGCCCAGTGCAGGCCCTTTGGTGACAATATCATCTGGGCTAGGCAACTGAGGCTGCCCTGGGCTGAAACCTGATCTGCAGACCTTCAGCGCATCAGAGGGATTGTACTTCACAAGGACTTGATCCAACCCTCCTTAAATAACTGATTATTGTTTTTTCCCTGCTGTTAATAAACATTTTCTGCAAAGATACGATGCCTTCTGGATGACTGCCCTTCCAGAAGCTTTATAAAAGAGTCACCCAAGCCAAGGCAGCACACTGGAAGCAGTGGCTGAAATGCAGTTCCAGGGAGCTCAGGCCCAAGCCAACCAAAACCAGAAGAATACAGACCAAGAATGTGTTTCCTTGCACAAAGGGCATCCCTTTTCTGGCTACAACAGCAGAAAGGCGGTTCTAATAAGCTGGCATAAATCATCAGCTGAAGATGCTGATTACCAATCCTCCATCCATTCCTTCTTCCCCTGCAGCCCTGAGCACTCTACCAACACTCACAAGTGCAGGGCAGCTTGTTCAGCCCATGGAGCTTGTTTGTGACCATTTAAGAGCAAAAATATTCCTGTGATAGCCCAGAGAGGCCAAAAGAAGAAGGTGACAGCCAGCTAACCCAGGCTCTGTGCAGGACTTGAAGATCTCAGCAGGGCACCGCCACACATGCAGGGCTTGCACATCCACAGTTTTGCTGGGCTCCTTCCAAGGGGAACATGCGGAGTTAGGCATTCACACCACATCCTGCAGAAACAGGTGCTTTCCCCCTCCTTTCTACTATGAAATTGTGAAGTGTTCATTCACATTTAGAGCTTGGCACGGGAAGAGAAAACCCAAGGCTTGTCTATAGCTCAAGATGTCTGTGTGGGTGAGAAATCCATCATCACTTTTCCCACCTGCTCTTGGAGGCCACATCCAGCGTGGATCTTGAATATAGCAAGCACTGCTCAAGGTCTTGGTGTGATCTTCAGCAAATCTTTACTATCTCGTCCCTCAGCCACGTAACTCAGATAATGCTAAATTCATCTCTGTGCCCTGCGGGAACACACAGCGCTCTCCTGTAGAGGACTTCTAAAAACACAAAAGCTTGTAAACATTTTGATTTGATTTGTTTTCAAGTTCAGTTGCATTGTTCAAAAGAAACTTGTCTGTGGCACTGAGTAATACGCTGCATACCTGAGTGAGGCAAATCTGAGCAGTAAGCTGTTTAGCAGTGTGCTGCTCGAACAGCTGGATTCTTCATGAAAAAGCTGAATTTCAAAAATCATGGTATTTGGGACCATGTCTTAAGAACCAATATAGATCTATTAATAGAGAAATGAGAAACATCCCATAGAATTTCATCCAGATTACATAAATCGAACAGGGGACACTGAATTGTTCAGAGCACGTAAGCAACCCAAAGACAAATAAAACAAACACTACTGCTTAAGTGTTCCTAAAAAATAAAGATGCTGCTCAAGGGGGAAATTATAAGCCCAAGTGCTTCAGTTACTCTCAGCAGAAACTTGTATATTAGTCAAAACTCGGTGTATTTCCAGCCACTGAGCTGTGTTGCACATAATTACAGGGCGGGGATTCAAATCCACTCTATTTGCTTCGCTTAATCCTATATAACGTTAATGTGGCACGGCACACACAACATTTATCGTGAGAAAACGGATTAGGAGTCCCCTGCCACAGTAATAGCCCAAACGACAGCAGTGTTTTACCATCACGCTACATGAATAGCGGCCACGGGTGATCATAAAGAAGATTTGCAGGTACGAGGGAGTACCCAGCACGTCTGCATCCAGCGCAAGTCCACAAGGGCTGAACTACAGAGGGAAGGTACCAAAAACGGAGCTCCAGACAAGAAAGGGTTTCCTCTTTTCCATCAGGAATAATCATTTGCAGCCTAATGAAGAATTTTACGCAAACCGAAATAAAATGGTTTGTTTCCACTTGAGTTGGAGAAGGCTGCATTGGTTACTTAAGCAAAACCTTAAAATAAGTCATTTTAATTGTAATACTTGTTTTAAAAACTTAACAATGGCAAAATTGAAACTGTTTTTGTCTGGCACCTATCAAGTGAACCATACACCTGCCCAGAAACTGCCATAAAACAGAAAAATAATCGTGGCAGAAGAAGATAACCAGCCTCCAAGTGTGTCTACACCTGCTGAAAGAAGCTTCATCGACACATCTCTAAACACAGGCCAGATTACCAAATTCCCTCATACTTACAGAAATACTTCTGGGCTATTTAGATCCCAGCATTTAGTTTTCAATTGCTTTTTTAATGAAGCTTTCTTCCAAGTCTTGACACAACAGATTATTCCTTGATAGGATGAATTAAGGTCTATACAGTCTTCTGAAGCATCACATTTAATGACTATTTACTTCGAGCCAGGGTTGTAAATTGTTCCGTTTCAGACTTGATACACCCATGCTGTTAGGGAGCTCAAATATTCTCCTAATATCGCAGCAGAATCTCATTAACCTGCTTGTTTAAGGGTATTTATCCTTTTGACTCATCCGCCGTGCTTCCTTTATAGTCCTTTAAAGTTAATTTAATTTCTACTGGGATAAAGAAGGCGGCTGGGGGAGACTGGTCACATATTCCGACTGCGTTTCCTCCTGGTTGCAGCTGCTGACACCCGTTTGTGGCAGCCCTACCTGAAGTGGAAGCTCTTGGAAGCTGCTCCTACCCAGCACCAGCACCATCCGCTCACCAAGCAGCCCCTGCAACAGAGTTTAAAGGAAATTCCTTGAGCAGCATTGCAGAAATCACCCGGGGAAGGCTCCAGCCACCCTCCCGAGGTGGCATTTACAGATTTTATCTGCAGCTCCAGTTGTTTGCATTGTAATGTCGCCGGTTTAAGGAGCTACACAAAGCTTTACAACCATAGGAATAAACAGCGCGTTGGGGCTTTATTTCCTCCTCTCTCCTCAACTGGCAATGCTGCTGAGGATAAAGGATTAATGCACAATTACCTCTGACATAAAGAGATGGGGAAAAGGCCCAGACCCTCTGCTTGCAGCGAGCAGTGCCCGATCTGAAGCCCACCGAGGACACCAGAAGCCTTCCTCCTGAATACCTGGACAAGTTACTAAGAAAATGCTTCCAAGCACTCCATCATCCCCTGGGCAATGCCTCGGAGCACATGCGATAGAGCCCGACCCAAGCACAGCAGACAGGGGAAATTCACAACCAAGATTTGCTGCGGTGCCGAACGCGAGCCACTGCACAAAAACCGTCGGCCCAGCAGATCTTTTATCTGTGCAGCAACGCCATCGCTGCTGGAGCATTTTACAGCCTCCAAAGAGGTTCTAGGAACTGGGAGAGGTCAGCAGTTTTTTCCTCGAGTCACTCTCCTATGAATTAACACCGTTTAATGAAGTTAGCGCTGTGCTGCAGCCGACGGTTCAATGGGTTGTGTTTGAAGTTCAGCTCTCTCTCTGGGCTTTGGTTTGGCTTTGTCCACACGAGCAGGGCAAACACGGAGCAGGCTGAGCAGACAGCGCTGGTCCCGAGGTGCTGAGCCTTCCCAGTTCTCCTTTCCCAGAAAAAAACCCACGTGCTGAATGCGTTCCCAGCCTTAAGGCAGCGAATGAGGTGATAAATGGTAGGGAAGTAGCTGTGCTATTTACAGTGAGTTCATTATTAGCATCAAATAACACATTAACATTTGTTTTATTAATGGAAAAATAGAGCTTAATAACCTCATCCATTGCAGGCAGAGCAATGCAGGGCTTAATCAAAATTGTGTTTCTTTCAGACATTTTTTAATCAGCAAAGCCGACCGTCCTATACTTGGGCTAAACAATCTTATCTGTAATCACCAAAACTTACTATATCCCCTTCATTACATGCTTTGCTCCCAAAGTAATACCCCTGCAACGTTTAATTATGCAGTACGTTACAAATCCATCACCTTTACAGCACAAACAGGTGTATATGAAGAACTTCTTTCACTGTGAGCACGAACAGTTTTATTGTACACAACCTAAATAATGCAGCATGTTATTTGAGTTAGTTACTCGGCAAGACTATTAGATTTCAAGACTCATATCTTTTAAAAAGGCTGTCTTTTAAAGCTCATCTTGCATTAAAGACACAAGCACCTACTGCATTTTGACAGCTGTGCTGTCCACGTGTCCACTTCCATGCCCAATGTGAGCAGACACCCAGCATCCTGCAAGCTTCCTGGCATCCAGGTGGCTCTAATGAAGTGACCTGGGAATGGTTTCCTTCAGAAAAATAATAATTATATAAAAAAAAAAAAGATGCTGCACTAATTGGAAGCCCCTCATCAGCAGTATTTGGTTCCCCTCTTTGGGGTGGCGTTTGTGGCAAGCTGCCTGGTCTCTAAGCTCAGCCTTTGCTTGTGGAACAGGTAAATTACACACCACCACCTCCTTACGGGGGATCTTAAAAATAAATGCTCAAAAATCAACCCAACTCCTCTTGGATTGCAGGTCTCATTGCTAGAGATGAGGAACTAATAGGATTTCCACCCTACCGCAAACTTGTGCTTCATATAAGTGGCTGTTCCACGTAGCCTCTGTGGGATCTGCGGGACCAAGAGCAGAAGCAAAGCCTTCTGTGCTCTAAACCCACTTCTTCAACTGTCCTGAGCTGAAAACTAAGCCAAGGCAGACTTCAGGTAGGACACAGACAGAGAAGTTTGGGGTTGAATAAGGAAAAAGCAACATTAAAGGTCTGCCTTCGAGACCTGGGGACGCTCAGAAGCTTCAAAGGACAGGTTAGATGTACAGCCTCAAAACAACCTTCCAGGAGCCCCTCAAGCTTTATTTTTTCCATCAAAAGGTAATAGAAACTTCGTTTCCGAGGTAGCACAGGAAAGGAAGAAAAGGGCACAGAGCTAAAACCTTCCAGTGTGGAAAAGGAGGTTGGAAAAAAAAGACACAAGACTTATCTGCAGGGTTTGTAATCATTTCTGGCTTCCTCTCATCCTGTTCCAAGAACTGATCCAGGCTACGACCTAAGCCTCCAGACTGCTCTGTTTTACACTCTGCTTCCCACTTCCTTACATGATCCCCAGAAATAAGCACCGCAGAGCACGCTCTGACATCGCCTCTAAAACACCTTCTGCTGGGAACTGTGCCAGGGTACGGCTTTCCGAGAGCTTTGGGGCTATTTCTGCCCGTACCGAAGCTGCTTTATTTTACGAGAGCACATGAAAAGGGATTTGGGATGACAGAATTTAGCCCCAGCAGAGAGAAAGTTTCGCAAGTTTGACAACAGATGATTTTAAATGCCCCCAAAGGATGTTTCAAGAAAAAAAAAAAAAGCAAAAAAAAAAAAAAGCATTAAGTCTTCAAAAAACCTTTTGCATGCTATTTTGAAGGCACTCCCTCCACTGTTATAAACCCTGCATTTCATGAAGTGAATACCAAAAGAATTTGCACATATATTCTACAGGTAAAAGAAATCCACATCTCCACTGTTTTGGCCTCACCGGATTACAAGACATCCACCTGGACACCAAAAATACAGCCTGCAAAGGCTTTGGGAACAGAAGTTTAATCGCAGCTGCATTTTCCATTTCCATTCCAGCTGTGTCTCTGCTTGCTTTCAGCAGGGCTTAGGAAAGAAGGCAGGTAAGATAATAGGGACTCCCAGACTATTTCCAGCTCTGTCTCCACCCAGTGGTCTCAAGCAGTGACTTAAGAACCGCAGGGCCACGCTGTGGTTCACATCTGAAACACAGAAAAATTATTTACACATTTCTTGCCCGTAAGACCAAGACATCGCTCTGTACAGCAAAATCTGTGCAGAGATAAAAAAAAATAAAGAAATATGTAAAGAGAGATTTCTAGGTGCCTTAATTTCTTTGTCTTACTATGAGATCTAGCTTAATTCTGAAGCTCAGCCCAGAAGCACTTCCATAAAATGCATTTGTGTTTCAACATCTTGCTTCTTCCTTGGACACCAATTTCAGTTATAAAGAAGCTGTCCTAGCACGAGGCCCACTGACACATCTCAGCCAAGTCCAGAGCTATAATTAAAGCTTGCATGGGAGGAAGGTAGGTGGCATCAGGCTTCCAGCTGCTGTTTTTAATATATTCTCCTGTCGAATGCAGAAGGCCACGTGCGATGCAAGCAGCATGCTCCTGCTCCGTCCTACCCGTGCCTTTTAAGAAGGAGCGGCTGCTAATTGGCGATTAACCACCTTCTGCCAGGGTGCACGTACCAAGCAGAAATGTGATTGCTACCCCTGTGATAAGAAAAATGTTATTTATGCTACAAGCCTCTGGCAAGCCTGCTTTGCACAGCCAGAGGGAATGGTTTCAGGCCCTCGGACCGTGTGCTTCATTTGCAAGGAAGCGGGGAATTTCAGGATTCGCCAAGGTTGCCAACTTTTGCAACCACAGCCTGAGGTTCTCTCCCCTCACCCCCTTCTGGCTGTGAAGAATCAATGCTTTTATGAAATAATTTCAAGTCCTTAATGTTTGCAAATAAAAGGATAAAGAGGCAAAGACTGGAGCAATTGTACAACAGAGAGGAGGTTCCTGACCCACATAAACATCTCAATCCTGCTGATGCTCAAAGAGGAACTCAAGCTGATAGTTTTAAAACACACAGAACGATAGACCCAGAGCAGATAACCTCTCACCAGGTACATTAGGCACCCCAAATTAAATTTGTTTGGCTGTGTTTTCTCACACTTACACCCACAAACAACTTGAAGTTGGCCCGGGACTGACAGCAGGAAAAATAACCTTTGTGTCATACAAATCATGAAACCTTAAGCAACTTCATTAAGTGCTTCCATACTCGTAGAGCAAAGGAGAGAACAGCTGGGTGCTCACTTTTACTGAAACCTTTGCTTGTGCACAGATCCCAGCACTCGTGGTCAGCCGTTAATATGGCCAGGAGCTGCTAGGACAGCAGATCTTTACAATGGGATTGATAAGGATAATTAAGATCCTTAACTGTGACAGCCAAGGGACAGTGTCTTTCAGAATAAAGTGTATTTCCCTGGTTTATCTGATAAACAACAGGTCTCTTCCCTGGATAGGACATTAGGTGGAAGTCCAGTGAATAATATCTAAATAGCAGAAGGCTTCTGGGTGCTTTAAGGGTCAATTTTCTCTTACATCTGAAAGCAACATTAATGTTTCCTCTTAATGGTCCGTGGCTTTTTCACTTTTGTTTAGTCCCCTAGCTCCATCTAGTGCCAAAACGAAACAAAAAGCCTTGTTCTTTCAGCAACCTAAATAAACCTGGTCCTCGAAGACCAAGGCAAAGCAAAACCACTTTGCTTCGTGCCAAGTTCTGTAACTCCACGTCTCTGCACAGGGATTTCTGCTGATCCAACGCCCCAGCCACAAAGGGCTCGCAGCCTGCGCTCAGAAAAACCCATCAGGCAAAACACAACTGGCAGGGATTCCCAAAGCAGCGTGCAAGCAGGAAGATGAAGAGCTCATCTTCAAACAAAATCCACATTATGGACAGGTAAACTGCAATATCGAGACTTTTCCCAGAGGAAAAGCCTGATTCTAGCAGCTTGCTTTCTTTTCCCTCGGCCTGCTTTCAGCAGGAGCAGGGCATTACCTTGTGCTCTTCCAGCTATTACACTTCGATACCATCACAATTCATGATTCCCTTCCGACAGCGATTTCATCATTTTAAAATGTATTTTCATTTCGAAACGTCCACAGAGATCCTCCCTGAAACAAATCATCTTTAAACAAATGTTTGAAGGCACACCTTA